TTCCCGGGGTCCAACCGATACTAAGTTTGGGCTCAATCCAAATCTTTCCTGCAATCCTACACAGTGTCAATAGTATATAGATTCGACTAGGAACTTCTACCAAAGGTAAATCGAGGTCGGAGAATCCGAATCTGAAGTCAGATTTTGAAAATTTTGAACTCAATTTTTTGGGTCAAGGAAAGGGTTTTTTGAGAAAATAATGATTTTTTATAAAGGTTGACGAAAGTAAATCGAGGTCGGGGAATCCGAATCTGAAGTCAGATTTCAAAAATTTTGAACTCAATTTTTTTGGTTAAGGAAAGGGTTTCTTGAGAAAATAATGATTTTTTTATAAAGGTTGGCGAAAGCAAATCGGGGTTGGAGAATCCGAACCTGAAGTCAGATTTCAAAAATTCTGAGTTTGATTTTTGTGAAAATAAAAGAGGTTTTTAGGGAAATAGCGAATTTGTATTAAGTTTCACCAAATGTTTTTGGGGTCGAGGAATCCGAGCCGAGTAGTACTTCGTCACAAGGTTTTTGACATATATATGACAGTCTTGTATAGTTTCTAGTAGTGTTGAAATCGCTATAGTGTTTTTGTTACTGGTATCGATATTAGTACAACTGATGAGACCTAAGCGTACCGATGGGTAATCTGGTATGTGTCATTTTTATTGATTCTGATTTTTTAACAGTGAAGTTAACCCCAAGATTAGTCATACCCTTTTCGTAATAATTACAGTAGTATTATAAAGTACTGTTCCACGATTATAGTGCTTGTCAGTTTTTATCTTCTTACGGCTTTCTTTTCTTGGCATGTACTAGAGGCCCAAATTGGTGTACTTTTCATAGGCCTATCTTTCTCGTAACAAACTATGGACCTATTCAGTCTGCCTGCACTTGTCGTTTGCTTTCATCGGTTTGACTTGCGTGCCTGCCATTTTATTCGCCTTGTATCCTGCCGTTCAAGGCATACGTCTTGTTTCTACATTCTAATATCAGGATAATAATTGAGTGCAACCAGAAAACACTCATTATAAGGAGGAGAGAAACCTGTAGATATCAAAATAATATGATTAAGTGACAGATTTATCGATTTAACGCAGTATGTAACTGTTAAGTAAAGACGCTAAAGAAAATATTAACACTGGGAAAAAACTTTGCTTTTGAGTAAAAATCTGTAGAATGAATTTGATAAACTAGTTGAAGAGAACATATTAGGTCTGACCATGGCACGACAGTAAATATGAATGAGGAACAAGTCTTCGTAAACACTGTATGTAAAATTTTAATAGTAATCAATTAAAAATCACGAACAGTAACTTTTCGAAATGGATAAATAAACTATATAAATACATGGACGACGAGCAATGTAGTCCTAATGTATTAAAAGTTATGATTGTGTTGAGTCACAATGATAAGAAACCATTTATCATCTTCTAGAGCAAAGATTCTCTATTTTATATTTCCATACCTACATTTGTCAAAAAATGAAACTTTTTTGTAGAAAACTGAGCAAAAAATATGACCGACAGGTGATCTGTCTAGTTTAAGCGGTCTGTCTGGCTTTTGTGAGATCTCTGCCTGGCCTGGGACAAACTCGACATTCAAGGCCTGTGCCTGTTCAGGAAACGTTGGCCCGATGATCTGTTTGAAACTCTCGCATATATTTGTAAACAGAAAACTTATATGATTACCAATTCTATAACGTTTTTGTGCTTTGATTATGTGGTCCTCAGATATCGACTCTATTTATTAACTGTAAACTCCGTCTATCTCCGATTGTGCATTCTCTTTGTTACCTTTTATGTCTGTCACAAATATATCCTATGAATAATAGGAAATACAAAATAAATCTATGAAAAATTACAATGCTAAATAACTGTTTGATTTTTTTACTAACATAACGTCATACCGAAGTGAGTTGAGAAAATATAATAAAGATTCTATGACGAATTTTGGCCTAGTAGAATAGTCAAATGCNCCAGAAAGATTCAATAATAAGTGTTACAGGAGAAAAGGTTAGGGGGGAGCCCGGGCCCCTCGGGCTCCCCCCTTGCCTACGGGCCTGAATCGAATATAAAACTAATTTCAATTATCAATTTTTCATCTAAGTTAACTTAATTTACAAGTCTTATAAAAGGATCTTTTTATTCTCATTACGATTTAAAGTACATATCAAAAATTTTGCATCACTAATATGAAACAAATGCAAAAATACAACAAAGCTTAAGACTTTCGAAGTCGAAAATAGTCTAGATAATCGTTAATATGTCTAAAGGCTATATTCGAATAAATGCACTGATATTAGAAATTTAAGAAGAGTTTAACGAAGCAAATTTTGATGTAATTTATATATATGTAGACTAAGTTTCAATAGTGTTTTCTAAATCATAAAGTATTGTATTGGAAAAAATATTAAATTTAATTTAACATTCTTAAGGTTGCCACTGCATAGAATGATATAATATAATATATAAAATAGAGATATTTAATGAAGGAGATCACATATTGATAGATGAAATATAAATACACATAAACAACAATTTGTCTCGTTAATGGTACGACGAAAACACGAGAACAGAAAAATCTCGAACTATCTGAAAAGATCTTCGATAATAGAAGTTTATCAAAAATAGGAATTGAAAGATTTACAGTGAAATAAAGTCAATTACATGAAGAAAAAACATTGCTGAACGTCATCATACTACTGAAATCATCAAGTTGATAATAAACTATTATCAAAACGAACCAAAAATAATAACTTGTTTAGTAAAATAAGCCAACGCAATTTCATAAAGAGTGATAGATTTTCTTCTAATTTTTTTTTTATAAAATTTGATTAGATTAAGTCTAAATATATTATTTCTTACAGTTATTTTAGACAATTTGACGATGAATATTATGAAAAAAAGCATTAACATTTTCTTAATTATCTATTCAGTAATATATAGAAAACAAATAATGTTCCAAACATTGTCAATATCTAGTATAGAAAAATAAACATTATTAATGTTGTTATATTCCTATTGGTATTGATTTTAATCTGTATTCTATTATGATTGTACAAGAAAAAAAGATCATTAAGAAAAGAAAATATCAATCATTGAACAAATTCGATTTTAAATAAATATTTTGTTAAATTGTATAGGAGATATTTGAAAAGTTGAAGTTATTTATATTGATTTAATAATGAAAAATAGATAACTATGATCTGTTAAATCTGTTTATCAACAACTAAAAATATTATTTCGATTAGTCTAATAGAGTTTTATTTGTATTTGTATTATATATATATTTATCGAAATCAAATTATTTTACTTTTCATTTGTCTGATTTAAATCTGTCGATAATATCAAATTCTCGTTTGAGAAAATATTTTTTCGTTTACAATTATCCGAGAGAAAAAGAATAAGATTTTTTTCTTTTTGTTTAATAAATAAAAACTCANTATTCTTTTTCTCTCGGATAATTGTAAACGAAAAAATATTTTCTCAAACGAGAATTTGAAAATAAGATACTTATTCAGCACATTCAATGTAAGAATGATAGATATTATTTTGATTTATTTGTATGATTAAAATAGAATCGATAGATGTCACCAAAATATGGTTAGAATATTGTTGTCGAATATTTGAAAGGTAATTCGATGATTCTAATGCAGTGATGTTTGAATATATTATTAAGTATTAGTTGAATGTCGTCGTCGTCGTTAGCAATAGTACCTAATATTGCTGAAGCTAGTCTTCGGAATATAGTTGAACAAAAAAGTCTTAAATGGATATTTGTTGGAGGAAAAGGTGGTGTTGGAAAAACAACATGCAGGTTTTTATATCTGTTTTTCACTTTTTTTATTTATTTTATTTTATTTTATTTTTATATTTAGTTGTAGTTTAGCTTCACTTTTATCTAAAGTACGAGAAACAGTTTTAATATTAAGTACTGATCCAGCTCATAATATATCCGATGCATTTAACCAAAAATTTACAAAAAAACCAACGAGAGTTAATGGATATGAAAATCTTTATGCAATGGTTTGTCATATTATTTATTTATAATATTGTTAAATAGAATTTAAATTAGGAAATCGATCCATCAGGTGGAATTAGTGAATTACCTGATGATAATGAAGAAAGTGGTAAGATTATTTTTAATTAAATATTAATTTTTTTTTTTTTTAAATAAAATAATCGATAATTAAGAATTATGGACAGTTGGTCGTTCAATGTTTCAAGATATGCTTTCTTCATTTCCGGGTATTGATGAAGCTGTTAGCTTTTCAGAAGTTATGAAGTAATATTTATGGAATTTATCAAAATTTGAAAAAAATCAGAACAATTTTGTTTAGATTAGTTAAAAATATGAATTTTAGTGTTGTTGTATTTGACACAGCACCAACAGGTCATACATTACGTTTACTTTCATTTCCTTCAGCTATTGAAAAAGGTCTTGATAAAATTTTAAGACTTAAAAATCAAGTTGGACCTATTCTCACACAGGTAAATTAAATATTATAAAAGGAAAAAAAAAAATTAATTTTAAAATATAAATAAAAAAAAGATTTCATCAATGTTCGGAATGGATAATATGATATCAGAATTAATGTCGAATAAATTAGAAGAAACTTTAGCTGTTATTCGTCAAGTTATGGAACAATTTCAAGATCCGGTTCGACTTTTTTTTTTCTATTGAATAATTTTCAAATGATTTATGCTTTTTGTTTTCGTTTTTTTTTTTTATGTATAAAGAATTTAACAACATTTATTTGTGTATGTATACCAGAATTTTTATCATTATATGAAACAGAAAGATTAGTTCAAGAATTAGCTAAATGTCATATTGATACTCATTCAATAATTGTTAATCAAGTTTTATTTCAAACACCAGGAGAAAATCCAAATTCATGTAGACGATGTGCATCAAGAATGCGTCTTCAACATAAATATATTGAACAGGTTTTTACTTTTTTTTTTAATTTTAATTGATAAGATTTAATAAAACAAAAAACAAAAAAAAATTTTATTTTAAAATCTAGATTGATGATCTTTATGAAGATTTTAATGTTATTAAATTACCTTTACTTGATGATGAAGTTCGAGGAACAACAAATATTAATTTATTTTCTCAACATCTTATTAAACAATATAAACCATAATTATTCTTAATTGTACGAGCAATTTTATTATCTATTGAAGATAAAATCTTATTATAAAACAAGAGATGATTTTTTTTTTTTCAGTTTTATGTTTGTGTGTTGAAATATCATTCTATACTCTAAGACAAATAAAATAAACACACTCATATCAGAATACAATTAATTCATTTCAATACTGATTTATTTATCATTTTTTGAATATCTTGACAATCTTAATTAATTTATTCTTGAAGAAATTTTAGAAATTAAATTTTTTTTCATTCGCCATTTTGATGTTGAAAATTAGTTGGCTTTTTTTTTTCAACATCTTTCAATACACATAAAATACATTAAAGAAATTGTACAATTGAAATGTTCGATTGTTCATTATTTAGAATAATATTTAAATTATTTCCTCAAATTAAAAATAATTTAAATTCTTCAATATTAACTATGATATAATGATTTACTTGTCAAAATATATATGATAACTGCTATAGAATCATTCGATTTTATTTATAAAATTTAATATCATCAATATATCAATCATTAAAAATTGTCTAGAAATTTTTAATCAATTAAACTAATGCGACTAACTCTCTATTCATATTGAAATAGATTAAGAAAAATTCCAAATAGAAAAATATTCTATCGTTATTATGTCCGAATTTTTAAAAAATAGAGAATAGTCAAACACATAAAAACAATTAAAATTGTTGAAAAACCAAATATCTATTAATCAATATATAATAATAGTTGAATATTGAAAAAAATATAAGACTATAGAAAATTAGAAGAAAAAAAATATATTTCAATATATATAAAGTTTGTTTTGTCGTTGTTCTACAATGTTTGACATTATTTTTAAAAAAAAGCTTTTTCTCTTTCAAAAGTTAACTTTAAAAAAGTTTCATTTGTCGAATTATAATTGGCGATTTCATTTATTTTCATTTCAATAAATTCCAATAAATGTCACTTATACGAAATTCATTTAAATAATCATCAGAAAAATGACTCACGAACGAACCGCCCGAGATGATTCCCCTCTTTTAAGCTCTTATTTAAGGACCTATATAGGGGACCTCTAGACTAGAATAAATCCTAAAAGATTTGGGCCCATGACCTTTCTATCGTGAGATGTCGAATTTTCAAGTTTGTGATAGTATAATGATTTTAACTGTATATCACCATAATATATCGCAAAGAAAAACGTAATACAAGCTCAAATATCTTTGGATAATATATATTATCATTAGTGTATCATTTTGGAGCTTTTCAACATTTAATTCATCTGTGTATGCCGTGATATTTCTTGTAAATACCAGAACATCAATAACTGTATCAGTCTAATAATGGCAGATGAAAAAAAAAATGGTTATTTTTATACATTTTATCGCATTCTGTTATAGTGTAGGATAGAGACTAAATTATAGCTATTGATGTGTACGAAAGTATTTAACGAAATACGTGATTCTGGTGAGTATTTATTGTATAGTATTTCATTTTTAATTCCACTGCTTAATCAGAACGATGATTAGCCCTACAAGAATTGCAAAACTGTTAGTCGATCGAGTGATTCAAAGCGAAGGGCCCACACCGTCGGGACACAAGATCAAATTCACGTGAGGAAGGAATCATCAATTCTTTACTGAAGATGATCGACGATGTTTGTCATTGCACATCTTATGAAATTGAATCGGATACCATTCTCGATTATGATGACGAAGAAGAATTTGGTGATTTTGAAGATGAAGATACCGATTCTGCTGATGAAAGTGTTGATCCTGGTTTTGATGAGTCAGCAGAGGACAAGAATATGACGACCAGAGCGAATTTCAGTCTCGAGTATATGAAAAAAGTTATCGACTATTATGACGCCCGTGACTCAAAAGGAAGAAAAAAACACACTTGGAAGTCTACTCAATATCGGTTCAAATCTGTTCTTCACCGACAGTATATTACTCGTTTTCGTCACTATATTGAACAACATGGTACCAAACGAGAAAAGTTACAAATCATCGATGATTTTGTGTATGACGTGTTTGAAGAAGCTCGAGAAAATGTTTTACCTGTTCATGATAGAGATTTAAAACGATGGGCGCTACAAAAAGCTGCTGATGACCCGAGTCTTGTATTTAAGGCATCCGAGCACTGGTTGCGAGTCTTCAAATATCGTTATCTTATTTGTTCCAGAAAAATTACAAAATTAGTAACTCGCCATCATGCAGAAGATACTGATGCTATTATTGAATCTGCAGATTCATTCGTACGTGATGTTAAACGGCAGATGCAGAACTATGCACATGAAGAAATTTTAAATACCGATCAGTTTGCATTGGAGTTAGAGCTTCACTCCAATAGAACGCTTTCGTATGAGGGCGAAAAGGTTACTATGGTACGTGGAAAATCAAAAAATGCTACGACGCATTCTTACACAGTTCAACCGATGATATCTGCTGCTGGAAAATTGGTAGGTCCCCTTCTTCTTTTGTTTGAAGGAGCCAAAGAGCAAGATGAGTGAAAGTGAGTTAATCTACTATTCATCCCATATGTAACGCACTAATTCACATTTTATTAGATATAAAAAACAAATTATTTTCTGCTTCAAATGTCGTTGTAACATGTAGCTCTTCGAGAAAACTTTCCACTTCATTAGTTGAATATTGGAGAGATCATGTACTTCGTACGTCAGTTCCGTGTCAATTCATCTTACTCTCGGACTATTGATCTGGTCAAAGAAATGCAGATATATATTCTGCTATCAGAGGATGTAAAAGGCTAGAAATCCCGGCTCATACTACATCGCGTATTCAACCACTTGATGTTTTCTTTAATAGACAATGGAAATTGATTGCCCGACGTATTTTCGATTATGTTCAACTCGATGATATTGCGATTAACTTATCTGAACAAAATAATATCATTCGTTTAAACTCTCTCATTCACAATCAGTTATCCTCACATCTGTTCGTGCCTATGATAAAGTACTCATGGTTTGCATCAGGTTACATCGACCAGCAACCGGGACCTTTTCAGACTGTCAATGATATTTGCTTCGATATTGGCAGCAACTTTTGTCAACAGCCTAACTGTAACTTACTCTCATTTATTCAATGCAGTTACTGTCGTAAATTTCTTTGCTTTGAGCATTTTTGTTGAAGTTTATTATTTTCACAATTAAGTGTTTACTTCTATTTGTTAGATTCAATAAGTTCGGATATAGTTCATCGCATAAAGTAGAACTAACATAACACCACTATAATTTATGAAAAGACTAATAAAGATCCCATAAGAGATAACTTCCTCAAAAATATTTGAGCTTGTATTACGTTTTTCTTTGCGATATATTATGGTGATATACAGTTAAAATCATTATACTATCACAAACTTGAAAATTCGACGTCTCATGATAGAAAGGTCATGGGCCCAAATCTTTTAGGATTTATTCTAGTCTAGAGGTCCCCTATATATGCCACAAATATGAGTTTAAAAGGGGGGAATCATCTCGGGCGATTCCCTCGTAAGTTCAATATTTTAGGAATGGTATTTTAAATATAGTTGTGATTTTTTCTTTTGATGGTCAGTTCGAATAGGAGACACTTTTTGCAACAAAATGAGAGGTTCAGAGACTCAGTAAGTCATTTTCGTGGAGGATACACACGGTGCTAAAACTAAGAATGATAATGAGTGAGGTTTTTAAGCCATTTTCTGTGTTTTTTTCGTGCATACTACTCGCATCATATGCATCTCTCCACGGAAATGACTTACTGAGTCTCTGAACCTCTCATTTTGTTGCAAAAAGTGTCTCCTATTCGAACTGATCATCAAAAGAAAAAATCACAACTATATTTAAAATACCATTTCTAAAATATTGAACTTAGGTATTCTTTTCAAGACATTTTGGCTTGGTCAATGATATCTCATTTTAAACCGAAATATAAAAGATTTTTCAAAACGCTTTTTATGACAAAATTCAGAATGAGATTCTCTATCTTTATATATGACTTTCAATCAAAACTGAATTCGTCTTGATGCGAGAACAACGGAATTACAAAATTGAGTCTATAATTTTTCACAGTCAAAAATCGACCGATTTCAAAAAAAAGTTTTCTTCTGAAGTTCAGTGGCATTATTGAGGAATTTGATTTCATAGTTAGATAGAGCGTATTCGAATGCATACCCCTTGGTAGACCTTGTATCTCTCGAAAATCTAACATAGCAGAAAGTTAGCAAACAAATCGATAGGAATACGTGAGTCAATAATTTTTCACACTACTGTATATATATATGATATTATTTCGTTTAGATCTTTTTCAAATAATTTATTGATCATTTTGAAACATATTTTATTCCATGGGAATTCTTCAAACAACTTACTTTTTCTTCATATATTAATTTCCTAGATAGAAATTATATGTGATTAGATATTGAGAATATATCAGAGTTTAATATTCTTCTAGCGAATCTTATATCGAAGATTCATCACTATATAGAAATATTTTTATGATCTTACATTTTAAAAGTGAAAATCGATAGATAAAAGATTAATATTTTCTTTCTAAGTTAATATAGTTTGAAAACTTTTGATTATCTATATATTGACAATAGAATATCAGTTGACTAAATAGGAATCGCATTGACTTCCTTGTATCATATTTGATGAAAAAAATATCTCAATTTGCTTGTTTGATTTCTAATTTCGATCACTCATTATTTGCCTCTTTGTCGATTTACTTTGAAAAAGTTTTACATTTTCGACAATTCTATTATATATATTGATAATCATAATAAATCAATTTAATAATTATATCAAATTGAATATAAAGATTGTTTCGAACATTTATTTTCAGTAAATAATAACGACACATTATTTTATATGAAAATTTTTTCAGTGATAAATTAATGTTTAAAAGACATTTTCGATTCTATAAAATAAAACAATTTTACAGATAAATATAATTGAATTAATTGTTGATAAAATAATGTACGATGTCTCATCGATTTATTCTTATTGTTAATGAGAATAAATTGATGAACATATCAACAATTGTCACATTCAATAATAAGAGAATTCTTTTAAAATAAATTTCAAAACTCAATTATTAAATTATTTAAACATCTCAAAAATCTCTTGATAAGTATTGTAAACAAGAACAGTTGTCATTGTTAGATTAATCTATTGTACTGTTAAACAAATAAAAAAATAAAATTATCCAGTAAATTTTCTAAACCTATTTGAATATCTAACTTATCATTCAATTTAAAAAATTATAATTAAATAACGAATTTGAACGGATAAAAAAAAGATTTTGATTTTTCAATGTCTTCTATCAAATCTTATATATTTATATATTATCTTTTATATATTATTCATTATTGATTTCGTCAAACGAAAAACAAAATATCTTTCCTTTATTAATAATCGATCTTATCAATGTAAAGCATTAAATAGATTATTTAAAAAACAAAAATCTATTTATTTTATTGAGAAAATATTTTTTTAAATAAAAACCAAAAATCAAAATGATTTGTTTCCTATATTTTCAAAATTTATCATCAATTAACAAGATAAATAAATCAATGTAACAAGCTATATATATATATATATAGTAAAAACAACATATCTATCAAGTGTCATTTACAACTATTTACCAAACATGAGAAATAAAAAGATAATCTTCATGTAAACAAATGACAATATTTATATAGGACTTTCAATAAATGTCTTATTTCATTTTTCAGATAAATATCTTCTTATTTGTTTTATACGTACAACATTTATCCTACAACAGAACAAGAGACATTATCGATTAACTTCTAGATTTTTCTATTTATTTGTTCGATAAAACGTCTAGCAAATGCAATTACTATTTAACACATATATATATACGTATATATTGTGCTTTAGCTTATATCGAACTATTTTTTATCGCAAAAAAAAAACAAATTAATTAATGATGATTTAAAAGAGTAATGATGCATATAACAGCAAATGATGATTAGATCGAACTAATTATGATAAAAATCTTAATCTTCACATTTAATATATTATTCTAATACGAAGTTTGAATAAAGTTAACTTTTCTCTTATGAATTTCGATTTATCAGAAATGCTTCTCAAATGTTACATACAATTTTCTAATCGACTATTTTCCATCTTTTAAAGCTTAGGAACCATTCAATATTTTACTTTAAAGAAAGTAGAAGATCAAATATCTTCTGATAAGTGATTATGTCAATGATAAAGTGAAGAATTCAATTCTAATAATATAATTATTTCATATCGCTTAGCGTTTTTGATTGAATAAATGATAACGACCTATACATATGAGTTAGGCATGCACCGAACCCAGGAACAGACCGGGATTCCCGAGTTCGGTCATTCCCGGGGTTCGGTCGTTCCCGGGATCCAAACGATACTAAGTTTTGGCCTCAATCTAAATCTTTCCTGCAATCCTACAGTGTCAATAGTACATAGATTCGACTAGGAACTTCTACCAAAGGTAAGTCGAGGTCGAGGAATCCGAATCTGGAGTCAGATTTGAAAAATTTTGAGCTCAATTTTTTGGGTCAAGGAAAGAATTTTTTGAGAAAATAATGATTTTTTATAAATGTTGGCGAAAGCAAATCGGGGTCGGAGAATCCGAATCTGAAGTCAGATTTTGAAAATTCTGAGTTTGATTTTTGTCAAAATAAAAGAGGTTTTTTAGGGAAATAGCGAATTTGTATAAAGTTTCACCAAATGTTTTTGGGGTCGAGGAATCCGAACCGTGCAGTACTTCGTCACAAGGTTTTTGACATATGTATGACAGTCTTGTATAGTTTCTAGCAGTGTTGAAATCGCTATAGTGTTTTTGTTACTGGTATCGATATTAGTACAACTGATGAGACCTAAGCGGACCGATGGGTAATCCGGTATGTGTCAGTTTTATTGATTCTGATTTTTTAATAGTCAAGTTAACCCCAAGATTAGTGATATCTTTTTCCTAATAACTACGGTAGTATTATAAAGTACTGTTCCACGATTATAGTGCTTGCCAGTTTTTATCTTCTTACGGCTTTCTTTCCTTGGCATGTACTAGAGGCCCAAATTGGTGTACTTTTCATAGGCCTACCTTTGTCGTAACAAACTATGGATCTCTTCAGTCTGCCTGCACTTGTCGTTTGTTTTCATCGGTTTGACTTGCGTGTCTGTCATTTTTTTTGCCTTGTATCCTGCCTTTCAAGGCATATGTTTTTTTTTCTACATTCTAATATCAAGATAATAATTGAGTGGAACCAGAGAAAACTCATAATAAGGAGGAGAGAAAGCTGCAGGTATCAAAATAATATGATTAAGTGACAGTTTTATCGATTTAACGTAGTATGTAACTGTTAAGTAAAGACGCTAAAGAAAATATTAACACTGAGAAAAAACTTTCTTTTTCAGTAAAAATCTGTAGAATGAATTTGATAAACTAGTTGAAGAGAACATATTAAGTCTGACCATAGTACAACAGTAAATATGAATGAGGAACAACT